CAACTCTTGATTTCATTAAATTAACACTCAAAGATACATAGAGAAGTGGGAATAACATCCTCTTTGATTGCTACAATAAAACAAACTACGATAGGAAAAACACGTAGATCTTCATAGAAGATTGACAGCGAATTGGAGACAAAACTCGAATGCGTCAGTAGAGAATTCACGGCATCGCCGGAATGTTGCAATTTAGTCACTTGAAAGTGTGACGTTGAATACCAATCCTCATCTCCGGATTGTGTAGAAACAAAAGTGGTTGCTTCTTCTGGCTCCATGGAGACCGCTATATAAGAAGGCAAAACGATGAGTATGTTAGAAAATATCCTCGATATGAAAACCGAGTAAGAACCATCTTTCATCGAAAGGGGACGTGATGGCAAAATTTTCTCCCGATTAAAGGAGGAGGGTGAAAACGATCGCTTCCCGAGAGGGAAGGAGGGTGATAAAGATCTCTCCATCCCCGATATGAAGGAAGTTTTGAAAAGAGACCATGGGCCTCAACGGAATGGACACTACAAGGCCCACTAGGGATCCACAAGAGCCCAAACTCATTAACACAATACAGTGGGTGGTTGAATGAATATGGTGCAATGACCATCGGTTGTGCTTTATCGACAAGCAAGACGGCGAAGAGCAAGGTAACGGTGAGCCGAAGACATCAGCGGCAGTTGTCGGAAAAAATTTCGGTTAAACGAGATATATCTTAGCCGCAACAGGGAGAGAGGAGGGTCTCCTCTAACATCTTGCTAGAGAAGTGAATAGTGAAGGCAGAAGGCAAGAAAAATAAGTCAGGAATGTTGGATTTGACACGGCGTTGAGGACGGATCTTGTATATCTGGGGGATCCGGTGGTTTGGAATGGTTCGGCTGCACCGAAAAAATCATTACCAAAGATTGAGAGAGATGAGCTCGGCGACGTTGAAGTCAGAGATGTCATCGTCGATGTAGCCTCTGCATCCATGGAGAGGGGCTCTAGAATGATTGATAGTATTGAAAGAAACAGATCAAAGACGAAGCGGAGCTAGCTCGTCGGCGAAGGCTATGTAGAGATTTGAAGGAAAAGTTCTTCACAAAAAGGGAGAAAGGTTCTTCGGAAATCGCTGTGATAATCCAAGAAAGAGATGCCGGTACTGCTCAGGAGGAGGAAGGCTGACGAACGGTGAAGATTCGATGACTGAACTCCATCATGCTTAAGATCTGAAACACTATTGCGGCTGCCTCAGTTAATGTGTCAGAGAGAAAACCATTAGGGCGAACTCGCTATTTTTGTTTCTGTTTAAACTTTAATAATTTTGAGTTAACACATGGATTATTTTTCTAGTTAACCCAAATATAAATAATATTTTGAATAAATAATATAATATTAATGGCATTTTTGAAAATATTTCATAAGCGTCACGTTTTTGGAAAATGGCATTTCAAAAGTGATATTTTCAAAAATTATCTTGGAAATATCTATTTTAAGTGAATTCACACAACAAATAAAACGACAACCAGACCAGCTAGATTAATCCTCGAAGTGTAGCAAAAATTAAACATAATTTTTTAAAAAAATAGCTCATAAAACTAAATGGTTGAACTAAGACATGTGATTCAGTAAGTTTGTGCTAG